CATCTCAATGTCAAGAAAAGAAAAATCCTCACCACTGGACCAATAAACAACATTCTTATCAACTGCGAAAAGACTGAAGTTGTCAAAGACTTCATTCTTCTTGGATCAACTATCAACATTCACGGAAGCAGCAGTCAAGAAATCAAGCAAAGTATTGCATTAGGCAAATCTGCTGCACAAGACCTTTTTAAAGTGTTGAACAGCAATGATGTCAGCTTCAGGACTAAGGTGCGCCTGACCCAAGCCATGGTATTTTCAATAACCTCATATGCATGGACAGTGAATAAGGACCGTTGAAGAATTGATGCTTTTGAATTATAGTGTTGGAGGAGAATATTGAAAGTGCCATAGGCTGCCAAAAGAACCAATAGATCCATTTTGGAAGAAGTGCAGCCAGAGAGCTCCTTGGAGGCCAACATGGCCAAACTTCATCTCTCATACTTCGGACATGTTGTCAGGAGGGATCAGTTACTGGAGAAGGACATCATGTTTGGTAAGGTGGAGGGTCAGAGAAAATGAAGAAGACCCCAAAGAGCTGGAATGGCCAAGTGGCAGCATCGATGGACTGAAGCGTAGCAATAGTAGTGAGGTTGGCCCAGGATCGGGCAGTGTTTCATTCTGTTGTGCATAAGGTCGGTATGGGTCAGTATCGACTCGATGGCTCCTAACAACAACAGCAGTCTTGATATTCTGGTTCCATTTCTTAAAGAATGAGATACGACACATTTCCACACACTGGTTATATTAAAATGCCCATTCCCGTCCATGGATGACAGTATTGTGCACATGAAATGATTCTATCAAATAGACAAGTGACAGTAGATTATGTAGCAAATCATTTGCAAATCAGCCATGGCTCTGCCTATGAAATACTCCATGACAGAAGTGGGTTTCAAAAAGTCTGTGTGAGATGCTCACCGAAACAACTCATGGAAGAGTATACACAGAAGCATTTGGACATCTGCAAACACAATCTGGACCAAAACTCAAAAGAAGGTAAAAGTTTCTTAAAAAAATCATTACTGGTGATGAGACATGGATTCATCACTACAAGCCTGAGGGTAAATGACAGAATATGGACTGGAAACATCGGCAATCACCAACCAAGAAAAAGTTAAAAAGTCAACCATCAGCTGAAAAATTGATGTTTACAGTTTTCTGGGATTCTCAAGGGTCAGTATTGGAATATTATCAGGAAAAAGATTCAACAATCAACGATGTGTGTTACAATGAGATGATCACTGAAGAGCTGAAGACTAAACACAGAGGACTGCTATCCAACACAGATTAAACACAGAAGACTGCTATCCAGGGTGTTGTGATCTTTTAGGACAAAGCATGGCCTCCACATACCTCTGCTCACATTGTTGACATCTGCAAAAACTTCATTTTGAGATGTTAAAGCATCCTCCCTATAACCCTGATCTTGCGCCATAGGATTTTCACCTGTTTGGTCCCCTGAAAGTGGCCTTTGAAGACAAAGATTTGCCTCTGATGAAGAAGTGAAGAGCAATACATTCGTGGCTCACACTTCTGCCTAAAACAGTTTTCAGTAAGGGAATACGTAACATTGTTGACAGGTGGACAAAGTGTATTGAAGACCAAGGAGATTATGTTTAAAAAATGATTAATCTTTTTTAAAAACCAATTAAATAAATTCTATAATCAGAGTGTGGGTAATTTTTGACTCATCATTGTATATAAATATAGATAGATAGATAGATAGATAGATAGATAGATAGATAGATAGATAGATAGATAGAGATAGATAGATAGATAGATAGATAGATAGATAGATAGATAGATAGATAGATAGATGCACATATATATGCAAGGGGAAAAAAAAGAACTAAAAGAAAAAACAAAATGTAACAGTGGCAATCTTTGGATACTGAGATTATAGAAGATTTTTTTTCCCCTTATCTATAACTTTCATTAAGAAGCCCTAGTGGGAAAAACCCTTTCTAGGACTGAAATTTAAAGGGAAATTGTGAGCTGTCTAGTATACTTGGTAGTGACCACTGAGTCTACCTGTGATTGGAAGTTGGGGAAATTCAGCAATGAAGACATGGGCCAAGTTTGATCATGTTTCATTGGTACCCACTGACCTTGAGATGACAGAGAAAAGAGGAAAGTCTGGCTGATCTGAAGTTTAGGAATATGTACGAACTCCTGAGCCCATAGGCACTGACCTAGCCCCTAGGGGCTAGGGCTGAGAGTGAAGGGGTCAAGTGGTCTGAAGTAGAGGGAAGTATATGGATTCCCAAACTTGCAACTAGTACCCACTGCCTAGCTTGGATGGCTAGTTGACCAGAACTGGACCCAAGGAAGATAAAAATGCTTAATACCATGAAAAAATGCAAATTGTTACAATTTGACAAAATAGACTTTTGCTTATGAATGCAGTGACTCAAAATTCCAACCAGAATGGAAGGATTCTTCATATCAAGGAACAGCTTTGTTTCCTCAGTGATAGGGATGAGAAATTTAGGCATTGACTATCAAAAATGGGGGCAGAGGGGAGTTATAAAGGTATGAAGTGGCTGGCTAACAAGCTTTCATGCATTGTACTTAGTTTCTGAATGAGGTGGGTAATGTAGAATACCCGCAGAATAGTTTGCCTCTTTTCCAGATGCATCTGGTGAAAGGGGATGGAGGATGATGGTGACAGGATTTTATGACTCAATTATGAGTAATTGTTAGCAGGAGTAATTGAGATTGTCACAACTGTAATTATAGAAGATGTGCAACTAAAAGTTAATCTTTCATTTCAAGAACAGACGATTCCAGGAACATCAAGAATGAAGAGCGTGAATGAAGCGTGAGATCACTACCTAGAAAAGTAGTGACAGCAGGGAAGCTGGCAGAGGTGGTGGCATGGAAAGACAGTCATTGCAGACCCTCAGTCCATGGACTGAGAAAGGCTGTGTGCCTGCAGGCAGGAGGCTGGCTGGCAGAATGTGTACCCTTTGGACATTTAAATGAATATATATTTTTTGTTTTGTAAGTGTATATCAAATATTTTTGATTTGTTCGTTTGTAAAATGTTAAGTTAATGAGGAGCCATAGGAAGGAAGCAGAATGAGTGCTGTTGCAGGGAGGGGACTGAAATCATTGAGATGAAACAAAGTGTATAATTTGCTGAATGTAAATTGATGATCTTATCTGTAAACCTTCACCCAATTCACAACACAACATTTTTAAAAGAATCCTTGGTGGGGCTGTGAGTTAAGCATTGAGTTGCTAATCCCAAGATCAGAGGTTCAAATCCACCAGGTGCTCCACAGAAGAAAGATGAGGCTGTTCGTTCCTATAAAGATTTACAATCTGAGAAACCATACAGAGGGTCACTGAGTTGGAATTGACTCGATGGCAGTGGGTTTAGTTTTTTGGTGTTTTGTTGTTGTTTTTTCTCCTTTATAGCTTTTATTATTTTATATAATGAACGAACATTACTTTATCATTAGAGAAAAAACAATTATCTTTTTAATCAGTGAACTGAAATAAATGAATCCCTGATCATGGTTCACAAAGAATTTACAGTAAGCCATAAATGTTCCTTCTAGTTTCCAAAAAGTTGAAGGTACATGATGGACTAGACAAAATGGTACTTTCCCAGCATGCAGGAAAAGCCACTAACACCAGAACACAAAGAGAACCTTGCAAGACAAGTCTTCAACCACAGGAATATGAAAGAGGTACAATGGCAGGCACTATGCACCAGGAAGATATATCCAACTTGTATGGCTTTGCTTTTATCAGTCAGCATTCTGGCGACTCCTACTGGCATTCTGAAAACTCACCACTTTTCAAAAAAGCTAATATTGACTCACTTAACCAAAATGAACAGTGTCTGGTAGCAGAGAATATGGAAATATGATTTCAGAGACAACCTGTGACCAAAGCCTAAGAAATGCACAAAAGACCATTGCAGAATTTAAAACCAGCTCTCCTTCAAAGCTGTACATCAATGCCTGCTTTCGGGACAGTATCTATGGCTAAAATGAAAATTCATTGTAACAGGAATCAGAGCCTTAACTTAGAAAAATGAAGCTCTAACATCAGTGATTTGATAAAAATACATTAATCTTACCTATTCAGGGGAGCAGTCTATATATGTGACTTAAGACATCCATTTTTACAGCCTACAGTTATAACTCATACAATAAGAATCTCACTTATAAGCCTAGATGGTCTCTGTGGAAGTCTATCCAGCCCCAAACCAAGAGATGAAAGGCCTGATGAGGCTAAAGGTTTGCATCAAAAGAGAAGTGGAAGTGCTGAGATGTTACATTTTCGGCACCATGACATACAGCAATCCAAATGAAATGCATTTGACTTTTAAACTGCTAAACATTTCTTTAACAGATAAGTAGCCCAAATGAGTGCTTTGTACCAATTCTATAAAATGATCTCTTACTGTCCCTGGGAATGAAGAGGAACATTTCCTTTATTGTTCTCACCTTTTCCATGATCAAAGATTTTACAGATATCAAATGTCGCAAGAGTCATCTTTCAAAGGGACTGAAATAAAATTAGCATGGGTTCTCTTAGGCATGAGGACAAGTAGGTGGGAGAACATGACACTAGCACAGGCTGCCCCACGGCACTCACTATGAGAACAGCTCACTGATTGGTCACTTTCTAAAAATCAGCATATACTAACAGTCAAGTAAGTCAAAGGTCCAACTGAGAAAACTGGAAAGTCCCTCACTAAGCATTTTAATGAGCTAAGGAATGCTAAAAGTTTCAGAATGTGTTTCTACCCTAAGAAAATTTCCAGCCCACCCAAAAACTTAGACATTATATTGAATTATATGTTTTATGTAAAAATAAAGTAAGATAATTCACTGTGACTCAACAAAAGTGGACACATGCCCCACTTGAAAATAAATCACTTTCTAAGAAATTCCCATTTCATCAATGATTTAATATGCATGCCAACCAGATTTTAGAAGTATATGGTACTTAAAGAAGCAAGAGGAGAATGCTGCTCTTACATATCTGGAGGGCTCTTCTAGGTTCTGGTCATTCATGTCAGTAGGAACAATGCGGGTGCCCAGTGGTTCCTCAGAAAAAGGTTTTGGTAACTGGCCCCTGAACTCTGATGGAATGAACTGAAGCTGCCAACTATCAGAAACAAAAAGAAGAGGGAGAAACACACAGGGGAATCATATTGCTAAATGTACTTGAAACAAACCAAAAAGAAAAAAAAAAAAAAAAGAAGTCATGTGAAAGACATTTCATTTACAGTAAAAACATTTCTGCTAAAACCTCAACCAAGGAGCATCGAGGCAGAGGTCACAAATTAGTCCAAGATCATTGAGAAATCCAAAAGTAGAGGTCTCACAACCCATTTCTGAACAACTCAAAGCAATGAAATTTTCAACCAAGTGGTCTTACCACCACACAACTAGAAAAGCTTTTTGCCAGGTGATCGGGTGACTTATCAAAATTAAAGCACATTTCTGAATTGCATATGTAAAAATTCACTAAAGCAGAAAAAAAAAAATTTTTTTTAATTGAAAGCAACTTTATCAGGTATATTGTTGCTGTTAAGTGCCATCAAGTCAGTTCTGACTCCTGCAATCCTGTATACGGTTTCCAAGGCACAGCTGGTGGGTTTGAACCACTGACCTTGTGGTTAGCAGTCCAGTGTTTATCCTACAGTGCTACACCAGGACTCCTATCACATATTGTTGCTGTTGTTAAGTGCCATTGAGTCAGTTTCAACTCATAGCAACCCTGTAGTTAGCAGTCCAATGCTTATCCTACAGTACTACATCAGGGTTCCTATCAGGAATATAGAGTTGAATTTAATATTTGACACTAAGAACACACTAGGAATCATGGTGTGGCACTGTAGAATAAACACTGGACTGCTAAACACAAGGTCAGCAGATCAAACCCACTAGTTGCTTCTCAGAAACTTTATACAGGGTCTCCATGAGTCAGACCCAACTTGACAGTACTTAGCAACAAGAACAACACACCATAGTAGAAGTACTTTGTTCATGACTAATTCTCAAGAGTATGTTTAGTTATGAAATTATTTTTAATGTAAAAAGCAAAGGCCAAAGTCAATAATAAAAAAACAGACTTTAATTGTAATTATTAGTTAATGATTGATACAAGACCTTTATCAAGCACAAGATCCCATCAAGTCAAGTTAAGGTGCTGAAGCCATTCCTCAAATGGAGAAACATGGCTCACCTTAACCAGATTTCTCTTTTACCTAACTAAATAGGCCTCTTCCCTGGCTGAGCCAAGTGAATACAAAGACCCCACATCCAACAACACACAGCACGGTCAGCCGCACAGATGTCTTAAACATAGCTCGCCCTAGTGTTCACAAGTTGGTGAAGAACTTTCATTATTGTTGGATGGAAAAAAAAAAAAAATCCCTTCTAAATAGTGCGGGCTCTAGATTGCTTTTAGAAGTGCCTTCATAACAGGTTCCAGAAATTTTAAATATGAATCCTAAGGAAGAGTCAGTGCCATAAGCCTAGGACCCAATGTGTTGTCAGAAGTTCCCAGACATAAGTGGCTATGGGGGATGTAATCAGATTGACTCATTAGCACTTGGCCCTAATGAACACAGGAGATAAGGCACAGAGCACATCCCACAGCACTCTCAGAGAGCAAATTAGTCAATAACTTTGTGTAAACTTCAAAATGAAAGAAAAATTAAGACAATACTGCTGTAGAATTGCTATTTTTTTCTCCTTGATTTAAAACACTTGGCATGAAAGGACAACCTACTTATCGGGCAGAAGGAAGCTGCTGGGAAATCGATACCATTCCTTCCCGACACAGACATTCACAGGTCTCCCGTCTGGAACAGTGTGGACAGTTGGGTCTGTAGCAATTCGGTAAAATTCTGGATACAGATCAAGAGGGCCGTGATATCCTGTGAAAGGGAAAAAGGTTAGTGAGAGTCAAAGATGAGTAGGATGAGATTCTGACATTTAATTAAAACGTATGCTAACGTCCCACATTGTTGTTGCTGTCATCGTTCAATGCCCTCGTGTTGGTTCCTACTCATAGCGACCCTATATAGGGTTCCCAGGGAGTAGGAAACTGCCAACCTTATGGTTCAAACTGACGTTATGGCCCAGTGCATTAGCCTACACCACCACACCAGGACTCCCACAATAATCCAGAGGAAATACAAGGTATGGAGGTCCACCGCAACGCCAACAGGAAGTCTATTCTGCAGACCTTGTCTGATACTACAGCAGAGGACCAATTGTGCCCAAAGTAATTTATTTCATGCCCTTCTCAATGCCCTTTCACTTTTCAACTTCATACTCTTTGAACACATTTTAATATTCTGAGACCAAATCATAAGTACAAGAAAGAATGTAATTGTGGGAACATAGTCCCAAATTTGTACCTAAGTTTATTTAGAATCAACTCAGTGGCAGTAGAATGGATTTTTGTTTTTTTGAGGGGGGAGGATTAGGGTTAATTCATTACCATCCTTTGAAAGGAATAAAAAAACAACAAAAATAGAGAAAAAAATATATACTTAATCATACTAAAAGGAATTCTCAATCTTCTCTTCAAAACATAGGTAGAAAAGTTACAACCCAAGCATAATATTAAATCTGAAGTTCTCCCCTATAAAAAAAGTCTTTTTCTAGCTTAATCTGAATATGTGTTAAATAATCATGCATTAAAGACTTCTGGTATAGCACTGTGGGTTAATGTGCTGAACTGCAAAGTAGGTTTGCACCGCAAGGTTGGTGGTTCAAGCTCACCAGTTAATCCTTGGAAATCCTACACAGGGTCGCTATGGGTCGGAACCGACTTGGTGGCACTTCACAACAACAAGTAACACCTAAATTGAAGTGCCTCGTGAATCTGGGTTAGAAGACTCTCAGGACACCTACCCTTGAAGAGTGCCACAGAACGAGAAAAGGACAAGAGCCCGAACAAGAAGACTGTTCCCAATGCCAGCCAATTGGATGTCACAGTATAATGCTCCAGCCGGTAATGTTGAAACACACAGCGGTAACATTTCTAGAAGGGAAGAAACTGGTATTGGAAACAGAAGCTAAACCTTGTAGAGTATACACAAATCACAGGATATTACAGTAACACTAAGAGTGAGGAAACATAAAAGGATATTCCATTAAGTCTGGGTATTTGTACACATTTAAAATGTGAAGGTACTCACTACACGTTTCAACACAAAACTGAACTCTATCTATAGGCCAGCCCAATCAGAGGGCCAAGAAGGAAATCTCATTAGCTTCACAGGAAAGTTACTTGGATATTTCTCAAATGCTTAAAGTCCTCATTATTAATTTTAAAAATAGCTTTTGGGTCAGTTTTCTTTGATATATCAAGTATCTCAATCTGTTTTGACTTATCTTCACTTTCCTTACTCACAAATTTCTGGCAAAGTTTTTAGTATCAACAAAATGTCTAAGGGCCAAAAAGAATTAAAAAGTATTCTTCTCATAGAACACTAGGAACATGCTGTGAATTCTCTGATAAATTATTTTATAACCTATATGAAGAGTATAATCTTTACCCATATGCATGCTGTCTTTGCATACCTAACTTCATATTTCCTTGCTCCATTTTGTTTTTTTTT